TGGGTTCCGGGGGGAGTATGGTCGCAAGGCTGAAACTTAAAGAAATTGACGGAAGGGCACCACCAGGAGTGGAGCCTGCGGCTTAATTTGACTCAACACGGGGAAACTTACCAGGTCCAGACATAGTAAGGATTGACAGATTGAGAGCTCTTTCTTGATTCTATGGGTGGTGGTGCATGGCCGTTCTTAGTTGGTGGAGTGATTTGTCTGGTTAATTCCGTTAACGAACGAGACCCCCGCCTGCTAAATAGCTGTGGGAATGCGCTTGCATTGCCTCAACTTCTTAGAGGGACTTTCGGTGACTAACCGAAGGAAGCTGGGGGCAATAACAGGTCTGTGATGCCCTTAGATGTCCTGGGCCGCACGCGCGCTACACTGGCACACGCAACGAGTCTATCACCTTGGTCGGCAGGCCTGGGTAATCTGTGAACGTGTGCCGTGATTGGGATTGATTGTTGCAATTTTCAATCATGAACGAGGAATTCCTAGTAAACGCGAGTCATCAGCTCGCATTGATTACGTCCCTGCCCTTTGTACACACCGCCCGTCGCACCTACCGATTGAATGGTTCGGTGAAACCTCCGGACTGGGGTTCGCAAGCTTCACGGCGAACGTACCTCGGGAAGTTGGTTAAACCTCACTATTTAGAGGAAGGTGAAGTCGTAACAAGGTCTCCGTAGGTGAACCTGCGGAGGGATCATTACCTAATATCCACACCTAAACACACACCCCAGCGAACCGGTGCTATTCAGTTAGTACCTCTGACTTCGGTGTACTCTTGATTGGGTCATCGTCCACAGTCACTCACACTCCGATTCTAACCAAACGGGTGAACCAGCGCATGCTGACGCCGAAAGATTAGTGTCACAACTAATTTTGATCAAGCGAAATGCCATACAACTCTTACCGGCGGATGTCTTGGCTCCCACAACGATGAAGAACGCAGCGAAATGCGATACGTAATGCGAATTGCAGAATCCAGTGAATCATCAAACCTTTGAACGCATCTTGCGCTCCCGGGATATGCCTGGGAGCATGCGTGACGGAGTGCTTGTCCCCCACATCACCCCACGGAGTGTTACTACTCTTGTGGCGGTGGAGTCTGCGCTTCGATGGACCAATTGGTTGATCGTGGCGCCAAGTCAAGCTCTCGTCGCGCCGCCTCATTCGGTCCGTCCGAGGCGGGGTACTAGGCTTTCTCGTAAAGCACCTAACTCACCCAGCCGAGGACCGAAGAGCTTTTGAGTAAGCAATGAGACGGCGGAGAGGCCCAGTCTCTGATCTTCGGATCGAGGACGCCTGTTTAGTAATAAACACTCAATCTTGAGCCTCCGTGACGCAAGAGGACCCGCTGAATTTAAGCATATAACTAAGCGGAGGAAAAGAAACTAACAAGGATTCCCCTAGTAAGGGCGACTGAAGCGGGATCAGCCCAGATTGTAAACTGACCTTAATTAAGGTTGGGTTGTAGTCTAAAGAGGCGACGCCAGGCAAGGTCCGGGGAGAAGTCCCTTGGAACAGGGCATCGGAGAGGGTGACAATCCCGTCTGTGCCTCGGACCGCGTCGTACGGTGCGTCTTCGACGAGTCGGTTTGCTTGGGATTGCAGACCAAACGGGTGGTAAATTCCATCTAAGGCTAAATACGGGTGGGAGACCGATAGCGAACAAGTACCGTGAGGGAAAGATGCAAAGAACTTTGAAAAGAGAGTTAAAAAGGGCCTGAAACTGGTAAGAGGGAACCGAACGGCAGAAGTGGTGATGGGCGCGTATTTTCCGCCGGGCTCTTGGCCGGCGTACTTGTGCGCGTCCGTAGGTCAGCGTGGGTTGGGGCGTGGGAGTCGTTCATGGGAAGGTCTTCGGGCCAATCTCGTGTTCAGGCCGCGCCTGAGACCTTCGGTGACGAAATTCTTCCGTTCACCCCGTCTTGAAACACGGACCAAGGAGTCTAAAATACGAGCGAGTGCGCCGGTGGCAACCCGGGGCGCGTAATGAAAGTGAGACCGACGGTGGGAGGGCTTTACGTCCGCACCATCAA